GACATACTCTTTATTCAACGATTCTGTGTCCCTGAGTAACGATTCTGTGTCCCTGAGTAACGATTCTGTGTCCCTGAGTAACGATTCTGTGTCCCTGAGTAACTAATTCTGTGTCCCTCAGTAACGATTCTGTGTCACTGAGTAACGATTCTGTGTCCCTCAGTAACGATTCTGTGTCCCTGAGTAACGATTCTGTGTCCCTGAGTAACGATTCTGTGTCCCTCAGTAACGATTCTGTGTCCCTCAGTAACAATTCTGTGTCCCCTCAGTAACGATTCTGTGTCCCTGAATAACAATTCTGTGTCCCTGAGTAACAATTCTGTGTCCCTCAGTAACGATTATGTGTCCCTCAGTAACAATTCTGTGTCCCTGAGCAACGATTCTGTGTCCCTGAGTAACAATTCTGTGTCCCTGAGTAACAATTGTGTCCCTGAGTAATGATTCTGTGTCCCTGAGTAACGATTCTGTGTCCCTGAGTAACGATTCTGTGTCCCTGAGTAACAATTCTGTGTCCCTCAGTAATGATTCTGTGTCACTGAGTAACGATTCAGTGTCCCTGAGTAACAATTTCTGTGTCCCTGAGTAACGATTCTGTGTCCCTCAGTAACGATTCTGTGTCCCTGAGTAACGATTCTGTGTCCCTGAGTAACGATTCTGTGTCCCTGAGTAACGATTCTGTGTCCCTCAGTAACGATTCTGTGTCCTTGAGTAACAATTCTGTGTCCCTCAGTAACGATTATGTGTCCCTGAATAACAATTCTGTGTCCCTGAGTAACGATTCTGTGTCCCTCAGTAATGATTCTGTGTCCCTGAGTAACGATTCTGTGTCCCTGAGTAACAAATTCTGTGTCCCTGAGTAACGATTCTGTGTCCCTGAGTAACGATTCTGTGTCCCTGAGTAACGATTCCGTGTCCCTGAGTAACGATTCTGTGTCCCTCAGTAACGATTCTGTGTCCCTGAGTAACGATTCTGTGTCGCTGAGTAACAAATTCTGTGTCCCTGAGTAACAATTATGTGTCTGTCCCTGAGTAACAATTCTGTGTCCCTGAGTAACAATTCTGTGTCCCTGAGTAACAATTCTGTGTCCCTGAGTAACAATTCTGTGTCTGTCCCTGAGTAACGATTCTGTGTCCCTGAGTAAACAATTCTGTGTCCCTGAGTAACGATTGTGTGTCCCTGAGTAACGATTGTGTGTCCCTGAGTAACGATTGTGTGTCCCTGAGTAACAATTCTGTGTCTGTCCCTGAGTAACGATTCTGTGTCCCTGAGTAACAATTCTGTGTCCCTGAGTAACACAATTCTGTGTCCCTGAGTAACGATTCTGTGTCCCTAAGTAATGGTTCTGTGTCCCTGAGTAACGATTCTGTGGCCCTAAAGTCTCTGTGGCCCTAACTCTGTCCCTCAATACAGACAGGTCTGTCTCTCTTGAATGACCGGAGGCTAATGGAGAATTCTAAGATGGCCGCGATTTATAGCTCCACCATTACACAGTGCTGGCTGGCTGGTGCTGATTGGCTAATGCGATCACATGTCATGAATGAATGCATTATGGGTCAGCGCGCCTTGTCTGCGCGCCTTCCCAGAGATTCCCGCTCCGTCGCCAACACATGTCTCCGCCATTTTTGGGAAAATTCGATTCGTGCATCCGAAGTTGGCTAATCTTCGGATTCGTCGCGAATCGAATATTTCCCAATCTTCGAAACGAATTCCACTTCGCCATGTTCGATCCGCTCATCTCTAGTTATTTATTATTATTATACAGTATTTATAAAGCGCCAATAGTTCGCTCAGTGCTGTACATTACAAAAGGGGACAGAACATGTGACAGAACAATACCAATACAATGTGATACATGAGGGGATCGAGGGCCCTGCTCTTTTGAGCTTACAATCTAGGAGGGAGGGGGGTGGTGGCACAGGAGGAGATAGCTGTGGGGGATGGAGTGGTAGGAAGAGTGGAGGAGGTCAGCAAGTTAGCAGGGGGTGGGGTAGGCTTCCCTGAAGAGATGGGTTTTCAGGGTGCGCCTAAAGGAGAGGAGAGTAGGTGATAATCTGATGGGTTGGGGCAGGGAGTTCCAGAGGATGGGTGACACCCTGGAGAAGTCCTGGAGGCGGGCATGGGAGGAGGAGACCAGGGAACTAGAGAGAAGGAGGTCTTGTGAGGAGCGGAGTGTGCGTGCTGGGCGCGGTACTTGGATATTAGGTCAGTGATGTAGTTCGGGGCAGTATGGTGGACAGCTTTGTACGTCAGCGTTATAGGATTTTGAATTTGATCCGTTGCGCAATCGGAAGCCAGTGGAGGGATTGGCAGAGGGGGGTGGAGGACACTGAGTGGAGGCCAGTGGAGGGATTGGCAGAGAGGGGTGGCGGAGATGGAGCGGTTGGAAAGGTGCTATGAGTCTGGCAGCCGTATTCAGAATGGACTGAAGCGGGGATAGCCAGCGGCGAGGCAGGCCAGTGAGGAGGGAGTTGCAGTAGTCCAGTCTTGATATGATGAGGGAGTGGATGAGCTGTTTAGTGGTTTCTGGGGTTAGGAACGTGCGGATTTTGGCGATGTTGCGGAGGTGGAGTCTGCACGAGTTTGTTAAAGATTGGACTAGGGGAATGATGGACTCTGGACACTGTTAAAGATAGCCACCCTCTGAGATGAGTTGTTATGTTGAACTTTGTTAATTCAGTAAACTTGTGTAAAGAGATTACTTTTATGGACTGCCTAAGGATGTGTTAAGGATCTGTTAAGGATGCAGTGGGTTGGAAGTAGGCACTGGGGTCCCTGGTGTATGCAGCCTGGGCTGCTCCCAGGGTGTCTCTTGCTACAAAAAATACTAGAAACCCTGGGAAACTCTGTCTTGAAGGACAGAATTGCCCAAGTAGATTGCCCAATTCAGCATGTAATGGATAAAGAGCTCCCTCACAACACACTACATTTTTATTTTTTTGTAATCTTTATTTTTTTTAATAAGAAAGGTTTACAAAAGGAAAAAAACTCTAATACAATATGATGTCATAAACAAGTATACAAGTATTTTAGTCCACAATTTGAGAAATCAAGTCTAGAGCTACCCCTGGGGGGGCCAATTGGTTTGATGGGTCCCCTGGCTCGAATCCGTGAACCACTTTGTCCCCTCTGACACACCTGGCTATATCCTAGCATTGCAGGGACCTAGGTTAATTTAGGCATTAGGCATTACCACAACTGTATCAGTGATAGAATTAGACACCAGACTACATAACTGTAAGTATAATATTGCAAGTACAATAAGATGGTAATACACAAGAACTGTAAGCAGGTAACTAAGTCTGTTTGAATGCAATGAACTAACTGACATGGATACCAAACTAGGATATGGCTGTTAGCAGGTGCGGACTGACCATTCAGGCACTCGGGCACTGCCTGAGGGCCCAGGGTCAGTAGGGGGCCCCATGAGATGCCCCTAGTACCTTTCATAGGCTTTTTTTGGGTGTGGTCTTGAGTGAGGAAACAGGGGTCCCATGTTCCCCTATCGCCCGGGGCCCCATGAGTTGTCAGTCCGCCCCTGGCTGTTGGTTAAGATCACAGTTGCATTAGCCTAAATCTAACGGGTACCGGTAGTACTAGAAATCTGGTTGTCTCTATACACTAACTGTTCAGTATATGGCATCTGACTTGCTTCTTCAGCTGGCTAGCTCTGCGACGGTGCACTAGTTACCTTTCCTTTAAGACAGCATGCAGTGAATTACTTTTGGGCTATTAGGCAAAAAAAAATGCAGTCTCCAGTTGCAATAGATCACTAACAGTGGGAACACAAGCACAACTAAATCCGCTCAGCAGTCCTGGTACACTGCAAACCTTGCCCTGAGTGCTTTGTGGTCTACTGTGCTCATGAACCCTGGCCCCAGTAAATCAGTCCTCACAAACAGGACCTCTAAGCTCAGCTCTGGCTCTCTGGTCCTTGGACTCTCAGTCTGGGGTAGGCATGGATGCTCCCAAAGACAGCAGATCTGCATCTCTCTGGTCCTCAGCAACAGGAACCTCTTATAGTGCTGTTCTCAGCACTCTAGCCCTCACCATTCTCTTTCCCAGTGTACATACAGAAAGCAACTGGTCCGCAACCTGGGAATACTTTGTAGCGAAACTCATCTTCACCTTCAAGAGCTCTAGTTAAGAAAAGGTGGTTACTTAGACTCTGTGCCTCAGCCATTCTAAGGGCTTTCACCTTCGCTGTGCATGCAGGCTTGATGGGTTCTACCACCAATGCAACCGGGTTATCCAAGACTCTTTGTGCATTTCAGTGGTATCCAGTATATGTGTCCCCAACGACCCATGTGCACTTATGTGTTCTTTGTACATCCCATCACCCTTGTGTTTCAGTGACTCTCAGCATTCTAGTCCACCTAAAGACCTCTGAACTCTTCCCTTCCTATGAGTTCCGCACTCCTGTGTTGCAAGTAATTTTTGCTAGTACTCCTACCTGCCTGTAAGCACAGCATTGAATTGCTCTGGGATGCCTCTGTACACTTGTAACCCCTAATTCTACACCTGAGTATGTGTCTGTACCAGGGGCAGACTGACAACTCATGGAGCCCCTGGGCAATAAGAGATCATGGGGCCCCTGTGTCCTTGTCCACACTCAAACCACACCCAAAAAAGCCTATGAAAGGTACCAGGAGCATCTCATGGGGCCCCCTACTGACCCTGGGCCCTCGGGCAGTTCCCGAGTGCTCGAATGGTCAGTCAGTCCGCCCCTGGTCTGTACCTGGTCAAGTGTAGCTTGAATGGGTGTGCTTCCTGAGCACACCATCATCCAGTGTGCAGAATACACAGAGGGTCCACAAACCCCAAGCCCTATGTGACATACAGTATACTGCTGGTGAGGGAGGTGGGGCATTAAACATAACCTGTTCCTATTCCCTGAACAAACAAGCACAGGTTCTTTTTGATAGTTCTAGTTTTTATGTAATTGCTACAATACAATGCTTCAATATACTTTGTTCAGCTTAAAGATAGTTTACATACGTACGTGTTTTAAGCCTTAATGCATTCTCCAGGTAACCATCTGCTGAGACCATTTTCCCATCAATCTTCAGTTCCAGACTGAAATCTCTGACTGCCCAGATAAAGATGGGGAAGTATGTGGAAAAGTTTCCTTCTTGGTCCTGAATGTCACCAGTTCTCACCTTGATTAATTCAGTGAGTTCCCCCACAATTCTTTTAAGTGTTATAAGGACATATAACCGTTTTCATTCCACTCATCCAGTTAGGAATTAGACCTAAAGTATTTCAGGGATAAGGAGAGATTTTAAAAAAAATCCAACCCTCCAAATACTTATATGAATCCGCAGTCACATGACATCCTGGGCCCCCAACTCAGAATCGCATCCAGCTCATTAATAAAATCCAGTGGTAGGAATGTTAACCTCCTCCCAGGCCCTAGCAGTCAGCCACCTTATCTGCTAATGAACCTCAGCGGCAAGGCAACTAGCCTGTTACCAGACCTCGGTGATGGGTATCCCCTTTGACAGGCTCATTTAGAACTTATTATAAATCTAGTGATCACCCCTCCTATATGCCACACACCACTGTTTCACTCTTGAATGGTTACCTTTTATCTTTGTGACGGTAGGAGCCCCTCACAGAGTGCTGATCTGCATACATAAAGACCATTGAAAGTGTCCAGCAGCTGGTGTCTCCAAGAAGTTAGCAGGTATGTGAAATTAGTCTCCACCTGATGATGGCTGTTGGGAGAAAATTTAGCTCTACATCCTTCTGCCTGGCTCTACTGTGCCAGATTTCCCCCTCTGCTCCATACATAACTTGATTAGTTTTCAATTTTCCTTTGTGTTTACTATGGGTTGCTGTATTTTTATTATTTATCACCTTTGTAGCACCCTCCTAGGCAGTTAGGGGGATATAGATTCCAATTGCTAGCTAGGGCTGAGTAGTAAGCTTAAAGTAATAGCTAGCAGGGGTAAAAATTGGGTCAGGGCTGAAAGTCTCTGCAGACCAGCCCCTCTGGAATTTGCCCCTGCTCTAGAACTTTGGAGAAAGTTCTAGAAGGCAGTGGGTGGATCTGAGGGGTGGCTAGTTTGTACTCTAGAAGGATCCTGGCCAATCCCCAACAGGAGGCTTGGCTAGGGTCCAGGACAACCTTTAAGAGTAACTGAACCTGTTTATCAGCAGGTGGAATAGAGAGATGTAAGAGGCTGGAGGGAGGAGCATGTGGAGGGGGCAGATAGAGAGGGGCTCACCTACAGGTAGAGGGCCTTGGAGGGCTGAATACTTGGGACTTCACCAGCCCCCTGAGAGAGGACCACCTGTGAGGCAGGGAAGGAGAGGTCCAGCTAGAAGGCCTGGTAGCAGCCACCGACCCACCAGCAGCACAGGAGAGGGACCAGGAAATGAGTAAACCTGCTCCCCCTGGGGCAGTAAGGGGAAAGGAGCACTCTGCTGAGAAACTGGATTGGCTTTTCACCCAGGACTGTTCACACTGTAGTGGCAGGCACTGGATCCCCTGACCTGGGATTCACCCAGAGCTACCGGATTGAGAAGGATCTATGAGCTGGGGTGATACATCAGGAAAAGCTGGCTAGCTCTCCAGGAAAGGATTTTTGTAAAGAATCGTAAGTAGATTCAGGAAGTTTGTGTTCAGTTCCAGTTCCATTTGGCATCCAGTACACCACTTACCCCATCCAAGTTTTATTAACCCCTAATAAAACATCAAAGCAAGCTCAAGGGGAGTGGTCACTGTCTCCTTGCTGCAAGTCTGAATTGGAAAAGCATGTTGACTATGGCTGGGGATCCAAATATTCTTCAGCATCTCCTAAGGGGGTAGTGCTACACCTGTGTTTATAATAACATATATTTCTTCACTTAGAAGTGAGTCTTGTAGCTCCACATAAATAGTCATGCTAGCAAAGCAGGATACCAATGCGTGGTCCCCTGACTTAGCACTTCCAGTGGCACGATGACGCCATGACAAGGGATGGTAACAAGACCAGCCAACAGACCATGAATCCAGTGGGGTGGATTCCAATCTAGAAAAAAGGTGCTATCATGATCTCTGGTAAATTTTTGAATGGGTAGGGGTGGGTGGTACATAAGGTAATCGGGGGAAGATTTTGCCTGGAGATGAGCTTTAAAGCGGAGTTCCACCAAAAAATAGAAGGTCCACTTATCTGCCCCCCTCTGCTGCCACATTTCGCACCTTTTGGGGAGGTGTCAGTACCTGGTTTTGACAGGTATCCGTTCTCACATCCGGCTCAGTTTGACACAGACTGGGGTCCATTCATAAAGTGCAGTAAGCTTCACACATCTACAGTAGGAAGCCGGCTGTGAAGCTTCAAGGCTTCACTGCCAGTTTCCCTTAGTCAAGATGGCAACACCAGCACCCGACAGCCTATTAAAAAATCAGCTTGGGGTGAGGACACCGTTGGATGCCTGGACAGGTAAGTGTCCTTATATTAAAAGTCAGCAGCTAAAGTATTTGTAGCTGCTGACTTTTCATTTTTTTTTTGTCGAGGGGGCTGGGGGCCCGAATTCTGCTATAAGTGAAATTCTGTCTTGTAACCTGTTATAAAAGGATACTTTAATTTGTCCAGGGCATCCTGGTTGATGGTGCCCATGCTGTTATACACCAAGGCGCTGCTTAGCAGGACTGTGTGGGTAAAGATCTTGCTGTCATATTTTCTATCCCCTAAAAGAAGGACAAAAAATGGAAATATGAATTTATCATTGGCTTGTTTTTTGTATACATTTTACTCAATTTGCAACTATGTCCAGTAATTTTTTAATATAAGCTCAGGTGTTGTATTCAACTACAAATGTATCTTCTATACATATGTTGCAAAAAGGAGTTAGCCCAATACCCCATTTGATTTAGGTAATGACAATATATAGCAATAGTGATCCTACAGAAGTTGTATCAAATCCAAGAATAATAAATCATGTAAGCAGAGACATTAAAAGTACTGTACTGACAACACCAGAAACCTCTGCAGAGATGCATTCAGTACTAAATACCACAGGTGCAGTATAAACATGTCCACAAATATACAATCAGTTCCATAATGACACAACCAGAAAGATGCCCACTGAGACAATTAGTACCATATCAGTGCTTTCAGAAACATGTCCATAGATACCGGATCAGCACTGTGCAGACCAACAGTTCACCCCCCTGCTGCTGCTGCAGCCAGAAATAATTTATTTAGGGGCAGTATCAGTACTGCTGCAAAATGATAACTTTAACTTGATCCTGAACCATTGGCATGAGGAGGGTACCTTGCCAGACATTTCTTTCCTTAATAAAGGTTTTGTCAAAAACTGGTGTAATGCCCTCTAGCATGGCTAGATCAGTTTGTTGTTTTATTTTTTGTTAGATAAAGACTAAGTAGCAGCCTGAGATGAGTCAGCCTGTGAGTGAGGCAGGAGTTCACCTCAGGACTGGCTAGGCAGGTTCTACAGGTCAGGGCTTCTGCAACCCCCCCCCACCCACACACACCTTTCCAGAAACAAAACCTTCTGGAACAGGGGAGGAGGCCCAGATCTGCTTGTTTGAGGGACATTGGGCAATCCCCTGGCAGAAGGTTGGGTATGGTGACCAAGCCAACCCTCAAATATGACAGAGCCTGGGGAGCAGGGTTAGCGTGTCGGGTAGAAGATGGAGTGAGGGAGGCTGGAGTGTGGAGCCTGGGAGGGAGTCCCAGGGAGAGGAACTACCTACAGACAGGTTGCTGGAAGAGAGGACCTCCACTGTGCCACAGTCTCCTGGGGAGGACATACTGAGCAGCAGGGAAGGAGGCAGCCCAGCGAAAGGCTTGAAGGCAGCCACCAACCCACTAAACTGACAGGAAAGGATAGTGTGAGTACACTTACACCCCCTGGGCTGGATAAGGGGAGAAGGCAGTCAGGTGTAAGACCCAAAACATCCAGGAACTAGTATTTTCGTATCACTTTTTCTTCCCCCTGGGAGGGAGTTGGTGCGCTTACGACGAATAGAGAGAGGTCTAAATAGGAAAGGCCGCGGCTTTGGCTATTCTGGTCTTAGTACCCCTTGTCTCACCCCCTCTGCTCGGGATACCTAGCAGGCAGCTGAGCGGGGTGCAATGAGGATGTTGGGGGAATCACTGGCTATTATTACTAATGTGGGGGCATGTTACTGGTCTGGGGAGGTACAATGTTACTGGCCAAAGACTGGCCTTTCTGTGCTCTTTAAAAGGAGAGACTGTTGTTCTTACTGCTGCAGTTGATATAAAATATTTTCCTTGTACGGTGCCTTGAAAAAGTATGCATACCCCTTGAATAAATAGTTTTCACATTTTTTTACACATTTTTTTTTTTTTACAAATAAATATCTGAAAAGTGTGGTGTGCATTTTGGGTTGTTTTTCAGGGGTTGGGCTTGACCCCTTAGTTCCAGTGAGGGAATTCTTAAGGAGTCAGCATACCAAGACATTTTGGACAATTTCATGCTCCCAACTTTGTGGGAAGAGTTTGGGGATGGCCCCTTCCTGTTCCAACATGACTGCAAATAAACACCAGTGCACAAAGCAAGTTCCATAAAGACATTTTGGATTGAGCCAACTTTTGGGGGGTGGAGGAACTTGCCTGCACAAAGCAAGGCCTGCACAGAGCCAATTTCTGAACCTCTGAACCCCATAGAACACCTTTGGGATGAATTAGAGCAGAGACTGCAAGACAGGCTTTCTCGACATCAGTGCCTGACCTCACAAAATATTTCTTGAAGAATGGTCAAACCTTCCCATAGACACACCCCAAAACCTTGTGGATGGCTTTCCCAGAAGAGTTGAAGCTGTTATAGCTGCAAAGGGCGGACCAACCCAATATTGAACCCTACCCTATAGACTAAGTATTCGATGCCATTAAAGTTCATGTGTGTGGAAGGCAGGTGGCCCAATACTTTTGGCAATATAGTGTATGTATGTATACACATCCCTTCTACTTGTGCAGCTAAGGGTGCGGAATTCCCTAGCTGCAGATGATTGGCCCATACAGTTTACAGCATCTTGGTGGACTTGCACATGTGGCTTTGACTCCTAGTCTTAACATTCTGGAGCTCATCACTAGTGCTAATTAAGGTCTTTAGGTCTGACCCAGCTTTTCAAATTCTAAACTGTGTACATTTGTCTATGCACACAGGGCATTTACCCAGCTCTTCTCAATGTCTTTCTCCTGGCAGGAGAAAAGCAGCTTTAAAAATGCACCAAAAACAACGTTTAGGTGTGCTTAGTAAGGAGCAGGAATGTCAAGCATTTTGGTATGCATTCATTTCATTGGCCAGAATGTTATTTCATTTTGGCAACTGAAATGAATGAACGTTCAAGTGCTAAAAGTGAAAATTAGAGAGAAAACAAAAAACTGCCAAGAAATAACAAATAAAGAAAAAGAACATGTGAATAATGTTAATGAAGGCTGGAGAACAAATGACAATACATAGCTACATAGGAAAACATACTTCACCTTCACAAACCATCCATCCAGAAGTACCATTATATTGATCAATACTGAAAATGAAAAATACCCAAAACAAGAAATCCAAGCAATATGGAGCCATGATAATTAATAACCATTTTGAGAAGCATCTCATCTTAACATTCTCACCTTCTCTACATCCCCTAGACCTTCTGTATCCAAGAGAACCAGAACAAAATCCTTAAAAATGGGGTGAGGGACACACCACATCCAGATACCTTTGGTCTCAGACTGAATGGTAGAACCCAGACTGAAGCCTGTGAACAGAAAACATGGAAAGTTATTATTGAAACATTACATGGTAGCTTCATATCTTTCTAATAACTAGAGATGAATGAACTTCTGAACAGTTCAGTTTGGCCAAACTTTTGTAAAGTTTGGGAATCTTTGAAATTTTGACATTTCTGAAGTGGAAGTCTCAATAAAGTCAAAGGAATTTCAAACCAGCCTCCAAATAGAGCACATTGCAGAGGAGAAATAATGCAATATTGTGCACAATGGTTTAGGAGGCTCCCGACAGCCTTGCTGATAACATGATGGGACTAAAAAGCAATCTTAGTCACTTAGAAGAGTGGAGGTCGGTGGCACTGAGAGTCAAGCAAAGGGTGCTCAGGTGCTCAAGAAGGTAGAGACAGACTTTTGAGCAGTCTTTTGTCCCTTTCTCCCAGAAGTCTTTTGGGAATCGTAACTGTCAAAAACAACATGGAAATTTGGATTCAGCTAGCGACATTCAAATGTACTGTATGTCCAGATCTAATGCCATTTGAATTTTGGGATCAACTAAAAGCTGATCACTCACCTTTCTGCGCTCCAGCCAACCTGTTCATCAAGTAGGACTTTCCCTGTCCGATACAATCCAACAATGGACACCACCACCACTGGTTGGTGGATCTTGGAGAGGATGTTGATGGCCTCAGGGTTCACCACAAGCTGTGCTCTTCCATCTTCCACCTTGTTCTCAATGAGGCAGATTGGGCTATCCATTTTGATTGCTACTTCTGTAGCAGATGATGCAGATAGCTCTGAAAGAAGGAAACATTTATTGAATTGTATTGATTGTAAATTATGTGGATTTTTAGAAATAATTTTCTGTTTGTGTAGAAAAGAGGACTTTCAGTTTTTCTAAGGGTTCTGTTGTTAAATGTAAGAGGTTTTCTTAACAAAACTAGGGAACTAAAACTGCTGCTAGATCATGATTATGTTTAGGTGGGAATAACGTAGGTCACAGAAACCTGGTTGGATGACAGTCAGCATTGGATAATGAATATGGAAGGTTATAGCGTGTTTAGAAATTAAATAATAGACATAAATGAGAGCAGGTTTGTCAGTTTTTAAAACCTTATTTTAAATCTTCTGTAAATGAAGTTGTCTATGAAAACAATAAGTAGATAACTTAGGCAAAATTACATGGTGAAGGTATTAGCTGTTGTATATTTATTTTGGCTACCTTGTAGGCAGGTGCAGTCTATTTTCTCCACCGCAGGTGGGGCTCAACGCAGCGTTGCTGTTAGAAAAGAAAAAAGAAGTGAGGAGGAAAAAGGTTCCTCTTTGGTTTCCTTTGTCACTGGGGAAGCTATTCCATTGTATGCTCTCACCCCATGTGACTCAAGCAGTCATCATGGCTCAACCAAAGCCTATTTAGGGCCTGGCTGCCAGCGTTGTGCTTTTGAAAGTGGACATAGTAGGAACAGGTACTCTATCTGGTAGAGTCAGTACTAGAGTTAGGGAAAGGTCCCTGATGAGGAGGGTAAGCATAGGGTCGCATCTCTTCTGGACACCTTCCCAGTTGGGCACTAGACGGCCAGGTCGCATTCTGCACTCCTGTAACAGACAATGTCATTCCGGTGGAAACCTGCTCCTGTCATTCTACTGGAACTGTGAGTGTACCCGACTGTGTAGTTTTCTCACCGGATTTGTTGTGAACTGTTGCTGTTTTGCTTCAATACAAGTTCTTATTGGACCAGCCTATGTGAGCTATTTTTTCCACACCACACTTCACACCACCTACAACCTCACATACATGATGCTAGTTCAAATGCTACTACCCCAGAATGATAATACACCTAGAAGCTGTGACTGTAGCTTTGTGAGAGATCACAAATCAGAGTTGCAGCTCCCCAGATTTATAAGTATTATCATCTTCTATTACATTCCCCCACACACAGCCTGCTATGACTTTTTTTTTTTGCTTACTAACCTCTTTTCTGATGTCTTCTGGCCCATCAAAACTGAAGCAGTGCAATCACTTTCTCAGAACCTTTGCAAACTCTTGCTCCTTTCCTCTGGCAACTATGCAACCTCCTCAGTAAGCCAATTCTTACAAACGCTGTAGCCTAAAAATGACGAGTAGGCAGTTCTGACAAAGTTTAAAAGAACGTCAGAATGAGAAGGGTGACCCTGAGACAAATAGAGTAGCCTATTGCTCCGTTACTGTCAGGAGACCCACAAAAGGCATTTTATGACCTCACCCCTTAGGTTGCTAGGGTCTAGCGGTGACAAGAGTGGTCAGAGCACAGTGGGTGTACCTTGAAGCTATAGGTAAAATCAGCCCCATTGTTTAAATACACAATCTGATCCAGGTTTGTGCACACAGTGAGGCCCAGGCAGTGGAGGGAATCTAGTGCAGCGGGTGGGTGAAATAGCTGGAACTGGTCTTTTGTGCCTCACTGTAGCAGCTGAAAGTCGATGGTAGGGAGGAGGACATGCTAATACTGACAGTTTGTGTATGTTTTCTATGGTTTGTGGCTGTGCTGATTGCTTTTTTTTTTTTGTTATTTGATTTCCCCCACTCCCCACACTGATCACCCAATCTATCCACATGCTATTCCCCCTGCTTGAGGGTGGAAACTACAGGGGTCCCCATGAGTCTAGTGCCCCTGGCCAGTGAACACAGGTGCTCTCACATAGCACCTCTGTTGTTATGTGCCTCTCTCAGCTCTCCCAACTTTGCGGACTCTCTCAGTCCTCTCCCAACTTTGCGGACTCTCTCAGTCCTCTCAGACCTCTGGACTCTCTCAGTCCTCTCAGACCTCTGGACTCTCTCAGTCCACTAAGACTCTGGACTCTCTCAGTCCTCTCAGACCTCTGGACTCTCTCAGTCCTCTCAGACCTCTGGACTCTCTCAGACCTCTGGACTCTCTCAGACCTCTGGACTCTCTCAGACCTCTGGACTCTCTCGGTCCTCTGGACTCTCTCAGACCTCTCAGACCCCTGGACTCTCTCAGACCTCTGGCTTCTCTGTCCTCTCAGACTTCTTAACCCTCTCAGTCCTCTAGAGAAGAAACCTCCAGACTCCAGCATGGAGTATTGTCTGATCTGTGCAGCTCAACAGTCTCCTGAAATTATAAAGCTTGTGCGCACCTGTACACACTGGTCTCCAACAAGACCTGGGCACTAAGTTGGAGGCCTCCTCCCTCCCAAAGTTCTTTGAAACCTCCAAACGTCATAACCCAAACTGGGTATACCAAAACCTGGAGAAAACTACTTTTCTCCACCCATTTTTAATTTTCAGAGGACACTTTGCATTTGTGCAAACCCAGTGTCCCTTTTGCCTACTTTTACACAGTGGCATGGTCTAGCACTGTCACAGTATTCATAAAAAAATGCTAGCATTATGTCTATAGTGGAGATAGTGTTGCCACAGACTCAAATTAACCACAATTGCCCAAAATTGATATAGTTCAAGAGCAGTTTGACAAAATAAAGGTGAATAAAGTTCTTGAACCAGATAGTTTACATCCATGTGTTCTCAAAGAGTTGAGCTCTATTATTTCAAAGCTAATTTTTGGAGACTCTTTACTGACTGGCATAATACCGATCGACTGGCACAAGGCCAAGGTAGTACCTATATAAAAGGGATTAAAAGGGAATGAAGTCTTTACCAAATAACTATAGAATGGTTGGTTTAGCTTCCATAGTCAAGAAGATATTTGAGAATTTGATACAAAATTTTTGCTAGGAAACAATATTATAATCAATATTATAAGCGACAGTCACCATGGGTTCTCAAAAGAGAGGTTGTCAAACAAATCTGTGGGGTTTTTTTAAGGCTGCAAGCAAAAAATTCGACAATGGAGTAGGGAACAAAAAAATAGAAGTGGTTAAAAGTAGGAATATTATTGAAAAAAGAACGAATAAGCTGCTTACATATCAGATTACTATTTGAATCTCCTATGCTGGTCACAAACAGATGCTGCAGCTAGTGCTGGCAACTAGTCAGAGCAGTTGGTGTTAGCCACTCAGCATACACACAGCAGCTGACAGGGAACAGCCGGACATAAGCAACATTTGGTCTAGGAGAGATGATAGCAGGGTAGGATCAGGGGCGGACTGACAACTCATGAGGCCCCCGGGCAATAGGGGCCTCTTGGTCCTTGCCCAAACTCAAAAAAGCCTATGAAAAAGGTACCAGGGGCATCTCATGAGGCCCCCTACTGACCCCGGGCCCTAGGGCAGTGCCCGAGTTTCCTAATGGTCAGTCCGCCCCTGGGTAGGATAATGGGGATAATTGTACAGGGATACCTGACACATCATGCATTCCGATTAATACTTCAGTTTCTCTGAGTATTGATGGAGCTACATTTTTAGGGCTTCCCCTCTTCAACCTCCCCAAGCCCAAAAGAAAACCAGGAAGAGAGGAGTGGAGGAAAGTAAAAAAAGATCCAAAAAAGAACTAATTCTGACAGAGATACCTTAGACATAGTGGAGATTTTTAATTTGTCCTCCTATATATTGTCAGATTGGGATATCTCTTTATTGAAAAAAGACCTAAATTTTGCCTGGCATACAATCCTTATTCCTTCACTAGGTTTGAAGACCTAAACAGGTTCATATGGAATCTGACAGTCAAAAAGGTTTTATTGTTAAAAAATTGTGGTGAGGTCAGATTATTATTATTATAAAGGATTTATGGCACCAACAGTTTGCTCAGCGCTTTACAATATGACGGGAGACAATACAGCAACAATACAGTTCAATACAAGAGGGATAGGAGGGCCCTGATCCTGGGAGCTTACAATCTAAGAGGATGACCTATTGCCATTGCAGTAGAAAGTTTTGAACATTCATGGGACGCTAATAGCCATGTAGCCTTGGAAATACTTTACGATAGTGATAGTAACCCTGAAAATTTAACTGGGAGCATTTATCCAAATGTACAGACCAATATTAAACTGAAATCTAACTCATTTATCAACTCATGTGGAAGGATCCTTTATAGAGGCCTTCCAGTACGTCACCTACTCAGAGCAAAAATGTGTGTGAAAACACGAAAAAGGGCCCAACACACAGACAAAAGTGCAACCTAACCATCCAAGAGAAGAAAGTGTTGAAAGAACTTACTGATAACCCCAATCTCATCCTAAATCAGACAGACAAAGGTGGTAGCACTGTCAACCAGGAGAGAGTAGACAATACTGATGAAGCTTTATGCCTACTGACAGATACATCTGAATACAATAATTTGCCCAGTGACCCCACTGATATATATATAGAATTAAATCTCACAGGATAAAAATTACAATGCGCTTTGTACATATATATCACCTGTTCACCACTGCACCTTGGTATAGCTGCGGTGTGACAGTACAAACTCAGCTCCTAGGAGGGAGGAGCTTGTGCCATCACGCCGACGCCATACGAGGGTGCAACGGTGAGCAGGCGGATGAATATATAGTATATGTACAAAGCACATTATAATTTGTATTCTGTGAGTGTCTGGTATCTCTTGGGGGTTTTAATAATTGTTTTAGAAACGGGGAGCAGGGGCGGACTGACAACTCATGGGGCCCCCGGGCAATAGGGGATCATGGGGCCCCTGTGTCCTTGCCCAAACTCAAAAAAGCCTATGAAAAAGGTACCAGGGGCATCTTATGGGGCATCTTATGGGGCCCCCTACTGACCCCAGGCCCTCGGGCAGTGCCCGAGTTTCCAAATGGTCAGTCCGCCCCTGACGGGGTGAACTATGTTTCTGCCTTTCTGTGCCATATCATGTGTATATAACAACACACACATGCATGTGGACCCGGAGGGTGCATCCATCCAGCGTCTGAGGAAAGATGAGGGGGGGATACAGAGGACGGGATTGCTGCTCTTTGGATGATATTGATGATATTGATGAGCCACTGTTGAGTTGTTGGCTCTGACGTGAAAACAAACTGATGTAACGATACATGAAAACAAGGCAAGTGACTCAACTATATATTTTGAAATATATTGAATATGGCCAGAATTGTAGCATTTCAAATATATGTCAATATATTTGGGAAGAATGATTTTAAAATATATTTCAAATATATTTTTCTTCCATATGGGAACCTCTAAAGATACAGGAACGGCACGGTGTGAGTACTTCTACACCCTTGGGCCAAAAACCAAGAGGGCGATCAGGTGCCATAGCCAACTAGTTCTATATTATCTCAGAATCCATTGCCCTGGGATACCCTCAAGACAGCCAGGTGGATGAGGAGACTTTCATTTGGGGTCTGAGGAGGTTCATTTAAGGTGACCAAGGGCTTCTTGCAAACGACTGTGTGTCAATTTGTCAGAAGGGAAGAGCCACTCCTGAAGGAGTAGAGAGCCTAGGATCTGGTCTTTTGTGTTCTTTTTGCTGGAATCGTTGCCATTTTGTGTCTCAGAAGTTGTCTTACAAGTTGTTACAGTTCCATTGGGCATCCCATGTACCCCTAGACCCCATCCAAATTGTTAATCCCTAATAAACACCAAAAAACAAGCTCATGGACTGTTTAACCTCCTTGGCGGTATGATTCTTTCCGATTTTTTGTGCTGAAAGCGGTACCATTTTTTGCATGGAAATATGTAGTTATTTATTGTAGGCTGTAATTTTTAGGAATAACTCACTGAAATCTGTCCGAACAAGAGTCTAGTAAACATCCCGGGGATGATAAAATTTGAAACACGAAATCATAAATTATAATTTAATAAATAATCATAAAAAAATAATAATATAATAATAATACATTTAATTCAATAATATAATCAAACCAAAAACACTGAAAATTTGAAATACAGAGGCAAATTCGCACATCGCTGAGCAAAGTCGCAAAATCGTTTTCAGTGTCAGATGACGAATTTCCCCCACCAATCATTATCACTCAATTCTGCAAGTGGTTCTGATTTACTATCGCTGCTCTAAAACCGCTTTTGACGTAAAGGGACGCTTTTTGGATGCCATGGACTTTTCTAAGTTTCCAGGCAGAAAGAACATTCAAAATGCAGGCAGGGCGCCGGACAAAGCAGTAGGGACAAAATATATGTGAAATGCATTGAAACAGCAATGACAGCAAAAATGAAATTTTTTTAAAAATTTCAAATTTCCCGCCGGTTCCGGCGCCCGTACGTCCCGACGTCACAGGGACCGGAACACAGAAGCCGGATGCCGGCATCGGCCGGAGGAGATGGCCGGGGACGCTACAGGAGACACATCGCGGGAGTGAAGGACAAGGTAAGTGCTGCAGGGACCCCCAGAGCAGCGCCGCATGGTAAGCCCGAGTGTATCTCAGGGTTACCGCTTTTGGTATAGAAATTTTACCCCGAGCTACACTCGGCAATACCGCTAAGGAGGTTAATGATGTTGGATAAAAGTTTGGAAAATGCATGTTACCAGGCTGTGCAGAGCTTAGGGGACCCAAAAACTTAGCGTCCCTAAAGGGGATAGCTCTATATATACACACTCGTGCGTTTTGAGCTTTGGAGTGCACAACCTATTGGCATACACTGCACACACCTATGGGCCAGTAGCGGTTTGTGAAGTTAGTGGGTACACTATATACACTGATAGGAGTTTTCTGTCATATGCGAGGTTGTCAGTAAAAAAGGTGCGGGGATTTGGCAATTCTGCTGCTAACACAGGGTCAGGATTGCATAAAGCCATAATAGTTCTAATAATAATTTATAATTACCTGAGCTGTGAGCAGAGGATGGATGGTTCAGTAATGTCTCCGGGGCTCTTCTGTCTTGGGAAGATGCAGTATTGTTGTAGCAGTTTTATATATTCTGGATTGGATGGGGTGGGCCTTTCAAGCAATTGAGAGATTTCCCAGAACACGTTCCTTTCACTTTCCCTATCTGTTCCCGTATATTTCATCCCTCAGTATCTATTCTTACTCTGAGTATTCCCCTTCACTCCTCTAAAAGGTTATGTAGGGAAGTGGGGAGTTGGGCCAACACATACAGTAAGTAGATACTCCTAGAAGAGGAGAAGACATGACATGTGAGAGGGAGAGGGCTGTGCTAAGGAATTGTCTCTTACACTAAATGAGAGATTTCCCAAAACAGAAAAGTGTTACCGTATTTTTCGCCGTATAAGATGCACTTTTTCTTCCCCAAAACTGGGGGGGAAATGTCAGTGCGTCTTATGGGGCGAATATAGAGCGGCCGGTCCGGCCGCTCAGCTCTGCAGCTGGACCTTACCTGTTCCTCTATCCAGCGGCGCGCTGTCTTCCCGGCTTCTGTAGTGTGGGCATGACAGCCAAGTGCCAAGTGCGCATGCGCAAGAAGCGGTGCTTTTTGTGAATGGTAAGGCGGTACCTGAGACACATGACAGATCCCAGAAGCCGCCGGACCAATCACAAAGCGCAAGTGCTTCTCGCTCATGCGCACTGGGCACCTGGCTGTCATGCCGAGCGCCATTACAGAAGCCGGGAAGACAGCGTGCGGCTGGATCGAGGAACAGGTAAGATCAAACAAAAACTCCGCGGAAGTAAGAGCGGGTACCTGTCAAATTCAGGTACCCGCTCCCCACCTCCCCAAAGGTCAGCAGTCATCTGTACTGTCCACAGTCTGTGGTCATCCCCGTGCTGTCCGCAGTCTCTGGTCATCCCCGTGCTGTCCGCAGTCTCTGGTCATCCCCGTGCTGTCCGCAGTCTCTGGTCATCCCCGTGCTGTCCGCAGTCTCTGGTCATCCCCGTGCTGTCCGCAGTCTCTGGTCATCCCTGTGCTGTCCGCAGTCTCTGGTCATCCCTGTGCTGTCTGCAGTCTCTGGTCATCCCTGTGCTGTCCGCAGTCTCTGGTCATCCCTGTGCTGTCTGCAGTCTCTGGTCATCCCTGTACTGTCCGCAGTCTCTGGTCATCTCCTGTACTGTGTCTGCAGTCCATTAGTTCAGAATTTTTTTTTCCTGTTTTCTGCCTCTAAAACCTAGGTGCGTCTTATGGTCAGGTGCGTCTTATACGGCAAAAAATACGGTACTTTAAAGAAGTTTGGGGTATAAAAAATCTGCATACTCACCTCTGCGGTAGCACTGGTCTGATGCTGCAGCTATCTCCCACCGAATCAAATCCCAAGCACTGGGTGATCACATGACCACTGATTGCTCAGTTCCCAGTCTGCACAACATTTGTATTCTTTTAATTTTCATATACATGCATATGTAGCACTAGTGATGGACCAGTGGCGGACTGACAACTCATGGGGCCCCTGGGCAATAGGGGATTATGGGGCCCCTGTGTCCTTGCCCAAACTCAAAAAAGCCTATGAAAAAGGTACCAGGGGCATCTCATGGGGACCCCTACTGGCCCTGGGCCCTCGGGCAGTGCCCGAGTTTCCAAATGGTCAGTCCGCCCCTGTGATGGACTGAACACCCCACTAGTTTGGTTTGCGGTCAAACATTCACACCTACCAAACGTTCGACCGCGAACTTCAAACAGACAATTTACTGAGCGGTATCTCATTGCATCTGAGTATGATGTAAGATACCATTCAGCTACTAAAATACGGCGTGAGATCTATTATTAAATCATACAGTATTTAGTAGTGAAAACATTCTTTAATGTTTCAGCTTGTGTACTATGTACAGGCTGTGCAACAGACTCCCCCGTGAGCCAACAATTCATCCCCAGAGCCCACACTCCATGGCACATGAGGTATTACCATATTGCTGACATCAGCCTACCACTACTAGAGGAGAACGCCAGGTACAGTGCGATTCACCCGGCTTTATATCTGAGAGGCTTCCACGGTGGTATTCGGGGCTATCCCAAGAGAGACAACCACTGACCAGACCAATACCAAGAGGGGGAGAGTCCATTACAAGCGGTTCAGCTCATCCATCCCATCCTATGAGGGGGACCTCTGGTTATTGATTATATGCTTATATAAAAATATGCATCTGGTGAGTGCGTATTTTAACTATTTTATCACCTCGCCACCTGGAACATGAAGTCACTAACATCTCCTCCTGTAACCATCACCTATCACAGACTCTCACCATTTTTATACATTTATTTTAACATATTGAGATTTATTTAGTTATGACCATATGTTCAGCTGGTTTATGGATTGGAAGTATTAATCTGCATTTGTTTTAGCACTGCACTTTCTTTTTAAGTAATGTTTCAGCTGTCAGCGGGGTTAAATGTAAAAATAATTGTTGGCATTGCCCAATAATTATTATTTTTTTTTTTTTTTTTAAAAACATGTGGGGTCCCCCCGTCTCAAATCATACCAAGCCCTTTGGGTCTGGTATAGATTTTTGAGTGGAACCCCCATACCAATTTTTTTTTGTAAATGGTGTGGGGGTCCTCCCCAAAATCCATACCAGACCCTTATCTGAGCATGCAGCTTGGTCAGGTTAGGAAAGGGGAGGGAAGAGCAAGTGCCCCCCCCCCCCAAATCATACCAGGCCACATGCCCTTAACATGGAAATGGGTGCTTTGGGGCGGTACCTCTTCCCCACAACCATGACCGGTGGTTATGAGGATCTGCAAGCGGGGGGGCTTATTGGAATCTGGAAGCTCCCTTTAACAAGTGGGCCCACATATCCTGCCCACCCAAGTGAATGGGTATGGGGTACATACTGCGACCCATTCACAAAAAAAGTGTAGTAAAAAATTGCAGTAGACAGTCTTTGACAAGTCCTTTAATAAAAACAAAAATAAAAAAAATGTCCCCAGAATTAGATCCAACATCAAGCATGATGCCCATCGCCACCGCTGACCCAAAAAAATTAAAAAAAATTGCTCTGCTCTCTACACTGGCTCCCGCCATTTGACAACTGCTCCGGGATGATAGTTCTTAAATACAGTGATGACGTCACAAGAGGTGGGGTAACCCCCTTTGACATTATCATGTGCTGTGATTGGCCAAAGCATTGCACTTGACCTGTGGTAAAGTACAATGCTTTAGTCAATCACAATGCACTGTCAGGGTACAGTGCATTGAGGTGCGTGCTGGGCAAATAGTCCACCAAATTCCCTTACCATTCGTATGTTCACTGAACACACGAACGGCCCATGTTCGAGACTTACATTCGACTCGAACATGCAGCCCATCTCTATGTAGCACTACCCCTGTAAGGGTCGCCTAAGTTATTGGGTCCCCTATCCTGCACAGCCAGGCACCACACATTTTCTTCAGACTTGCATTCCAGAGACAGTCCTTGAGCTTTTTTTTTTCTTTTATTAGGGGTATTGAACTTGGATGAGGTTGAGGGGTGTATAGGATGCCCAAGGAACAGTAAACTGAGGGCAACTTCTTAACAACTATGTACAAAGATAGAACTTCCCTTCTTGGAGAGCTCTCCAGCCTCTTCTGGTGTACCACCCCAGACCCTAGATGAATCATCTTCTTCACCCAGCTGCCTGAGGGAATCCCTGGGCAAGAGGATCCAGTGCCTGCCACTTTACAGTTAAACAGTCCTGGATAAGGAGCTAGTCAGGTTTCTCACCAGAATGCCCTCTACCCTTATATGACCCAGGGGATGTAGGATTACACACTCAGTCCTTTCCTCTGAGATGGTGGGTTGGTAGCTGCCTTCAGGTCTTCTGCTGGGTTGGCTCCTTCCCTGACTTCACAGGTGGTCCTCTCTCTGGAGACCGGTAGGGCAGAGTGATCCTCCTTTCCAGGTCCCAGCCTGTAGGTAGGCCTCTTCCCACTGGGCCCCCTCCTAGGCTACTGTACCTCAGCCTCTCTCACATCTGCCACCCAAACTCTCCTGCTGCTGAGCCGGCTCTATCATACTTAAAGACTGCCCTGTTCCCATGCCAAACCTCCTGCCCTGTCCCCTGCTTGGGGATTGGCCAGAGTCCTTTAAGTGTGCAGGCAAGCTCCTCCTCACCCCCACACACTGCCTTCTAGAATCTTCTTCAAGTTTATAGAGCAGGGGGCGGTATCAGGGAACTGACCTGCAGAGCCCTCAGACCTGACCCAAATTTGGCCCATTGACTCATTCTCAGGCTGCTAGCTAACTCAGCCTTCCTCTCTACAAAAAAAAAAAACTTAGCTAACTCCCCCTAGCTACTTATAGGGGTGCTACACATGTATAGGGAGGAAGTACAGGTCAGCGGAACGCAGTATAAGAGGGGGTTGTGATAATACAAATGGCAGTGCCTCCACCTAGAATAGGGATCCTGCAATTGAGGAGACTCACCCCTTTCTAGGAATGTAACAGGTAGACAACCTAAAGTAACTATACATAGCAGTATTAATGCACCCAGCTTATATTTCTAACATGAAAACATGTCACCACACCTGTATGAGATTAATGTAAAGTTTATATAAAGCAGCCACATAAAACAGGATGCATAAGAATAACATTCAGGAATTACAATTTAGCATAAATTGGGAGGTTGCAATTATACCCGGGTATATGTGCATGTAGTATACAGAATACCTCCAACCATGGGTTATAGCGCAGTCCGGTTGCAGGGGCCCCTGGAGAGGTGAGAGTCAATAAGATGCACACTTCCACTTTAGATGCTGTGATGGCGTCCAAGTAACACGTTCTATGCGGATGATTGCACTGCTTGTCTGAAGATAAGCGATGCATCACCTAAAAGGATAAAATGCCCTATCTATCCTTACTCTTAGTCCCTATCCCTAAACTGGGCTGTCACCACAACCGGGCCTCTATCTGTCTAAGTGGCCGTCAGATGCCTAACCTACCTCTAGCCTAAACTATCCAACGCTCCCTATGCTAATCCTAGCTAAAGGGAGATCCAGACCAAT